GACTGTGATGTTGGCTTTTAATGCACATAAAATATTTTAGGACACTATTTGTTTCAGAATCTTTTTTTCTTCATTTCCCTTCTCTAAAAACTGGTGCGTCTTATGGTCCGGAGCGTCTTATGGTCCGAAAAATACGGTAACCTATAATGTGATCCTTTAGCAGGCGTCTTCAAACTACGGCCCGTGGGCCACATGCGGCCCGCAGAGGAGTCTGATCCGGCCCGCCAGGTTTTTTGGGCAGTGAGCGCAGCCGAGGTGTTACAGTAGGAATTAGTAGTTCATATAGTCCGGCCCTCCAGCTCTCTGAGGGACCGTGATCTGGCCCCCACTTTAAAAAGTTTGAGGACCCCTGCTTTAGAGTAAAGGGTACAGTAGACACGTCAAGTCTGATTCCCTAACTAAAGCTAGGCTAATGCCCAGATCCCACCTGTTTGTGTATGTGTATTTGTGTGTATACTGTATGTGCATATGTATCTACAATAAAACAAAAACCCATAACAACTACCACATTAAGTAGGGGCATTATAACTAACTGTTAAACCCTAAGGCAATCCTTAGACCCAAATGTCTACGAAGGCCCATTTGATCTGCTAAAACAGTAGTCAACAAACTTTTTTAAAGCCTCCTAGAAAATATTTTAGGCTTTGTAGGCCATATAGTCACAACTACTCAACTCTGCCTTTGCAGCAGCAAAAGCAGCTTCAGATAATATATAAACAAATAGTTGTCTTTATGAAATTGAAATGTGAGCTTCCAAAAAAGCATTTCTTATAATTTTCACATGCCACAAAATATTCTTTTGATTATCTCCATCATTTAAAAAGGTAAAACCATTCTTAGTTCACAGGCCATACAAAAAGAACACAGAACTATGTCGACTAACCATAGTTTGCCGCCTTGTAATAAGCGACATAGATCTGTCCTCCCCTAACATTCCTTCCAACTGCCCTCTTAGTGGTAATCTTAATCTAAGACAAAAACCTTCCCAGTGAACAGAACTGAAAAATCTTCATTTGGCTAAAAAACTCACTCCATTTTCAAGGAAGACAACAAATGTAGGCCCCTATAATTTGCTAGTTGTATCATTTATCTTATACCATACCTGTGTAGCAAGATATGGTATTAAGTTTTGCAACAATATCTTCCTCTGCTCTCCTCTCATAAGCGTTTTAGTTATTTTGTTTCCCCACCATTGTGTATCAGTTATGTTAAGGATGATTAAATTTAGTTTTTTAGAAACAATTTTCAGACATGTGACAAAGCATATCTAGGCCTGATTAACAAAAAATCTCACCTTTAGAACCTGAACTCAGAGAACAATGACCTATGGATGTTGTAGCCAGATGTGAATTTGGGTAGTCTTCATAGAAGAGATGAGGTTGTTTGCTGATATATATAAACGTTTTAAAAACATTTACATATGGGGAAAAGTAGGACTAAATAGCCATGGGATGAATGAGGTGGCCCAACTAAGTTTATCTCTTATTTTTTATTATTGATTTTAGAGAGAGAAGGAAGGAGGAAGGGAGATAGAATATTGATTTGTTCTACTTATTTATGCATTCACTGGTTGAGTCTTATATGTGCCCTCACCAGGGATAAAACCCACAACTTTGGAGTATCACGATGACACTCTAATCAACTGAGCTTACCCAGCAAATGCCCCAAATATGTTTTTTATTTGTTTAGTTAATATATTTTTATTGATTTCAGAGGGGAAGGGAGAAGAAGAGGGAGATATAGAAACATCAATAACGAGAATCATTGGTTGGCTGCCTCCTGCATGCCCCCCCCAGTAGGGCGTGTGCCAGCAACCCTGGCAGGTGTCCCTGACTGGAATCGAACTCGGGATCATAAGTCCACAAGCCAACATTCTATTCACTGAGCCAAACCCGCTATGGCCCAACCTGTACTGCACTTCTCTCTGGGATAGTGCAGCTAGAGCATCTTATTACAATGTAGCCCCTCAGCCAAAGTTATGGTCTAGAGGTGGACACATAATCTAATTAGTCCCCTTTCCTAGGTCAGTCTATCTCTGAAAGCAGAAGATACAAAATTTCAAATTCAGAAGATATTAGTATTAAAGTTGGTCTGCAGCAAGAGAACTAGCTGACTATACAAAGAACCTCTCTATCTAGCTGTTCCTGAGTTCTATATTCCTGCCTTACTTAGAATTTTTAGGATACCCACTATGTTCCCAATAAATTATTTTGGCTTAAGGTAAGTATATATATATACACTTTATATATATAAGTATATACTTTCCTAAATAAAACAAAGTACCTATTAGACAAACTAAAGGGGTCTATTCAGTTGAATGAAAGAGTCCTGGTGCCCATAAAACACTTAGAGATGATAGCTACGCAATACAAATGGATGGTATTACCCAGAAGAGTGAAGAATAAATGACAAGGCTAAAATCCAGAATACCAATCTCAAAGGATTACTAAGAATTAAAAATCTGCAAAGAAGCAGTTAGTAGTAAATGAACAGTCATCAAAGTAAGGAAGAAAACAATATCAAGTATCAAATGATTAACTATCAAGTACAAAAAGAGGTAGTAAACAATGATTACATAAGTTGGCAATATAAAAACACAAAGTAGCCTTGGAAAGAGTAATTTCACTGGCATGATAGGATAAGAAGCCAGGCTGAAGGTACGTACACACTACCTACAAAGTATTCTTGCCATTAAAAAAGTATCAAGCCTGATAGTCTAGCCAATGTTGCTAAATGGTTAGAGCCTCAGTCAGAGCACCAAAGGGTCTCAGGTTCCATTCCTGGTCAAGAGCATGTCAACCTCAGTTGCAGGTTTGATCCCTGGCCCTAGTCAAGACAAGTTCGGGAGGCAACCAATCAATGTGGCTCTCTCACATCTCTCTTTCTTTTCTTCCCTATCCATCCTTCCCTTCCTCTCTCTAAAAAGCAATGGAAAAAAATAGCCTCAGGTGAGGAGAGAAAAAAAATTCAAGCCTAAATCAAATCAATCTCCTAAATGTAACTACTAATAGGAAAACCAGTGGCAAAGAAACATCTATAATAATAATATGCTAATTAGACCAGACAGCTGGACAACCTCCTGGACAAAGCTGGGGCTGCAAGGACAGAGCCCCTTGCACGAATTTCATGCTTTTGGGCCTCTAGCTAAGTGTCCCTCCAACCGGTAGCTATGATGCACACTGACCACCAGGGGGCAGACGCTCAATGCAGGAGCTGCCAGGCTGCAGTGAGTTGGCAAAAGCAGTTCTTGGGTGAGGCACCCTGGAACCAGAGGAGGGAGCCTGATTCCTCGCAGGGCTGCATGATTCCACCTTCGGCTATGGGTGATGTTGTTGCTGGGGCACTGTCAGCCCTGAATCTGGTTTACTGCACATTTGTATTTGCGTTCCATACCCTGTACGACAGCAACTTTGTATAATGCCCTCTGGCACTCTGGGGGCCCCCAGGGGATGTTGGAGAGCTAGTTTCAGCCCAATCCCTGCAGGCCAGGCAGAGGGACCATCTACTCTACAGATGCTCTTCAAGCCATGGTGCCACCCCAGGTGAGGCTGGCCAGGCAGGGAATCAGGGAGGTTAGCTCCAGGGCCTGTCTGGCCCATCTCACCTAGTCCCACCCCACTGGCCACCTTCTATATAATTAATGTCCTTTCAATGTGCACAAATCCATGCACCAGGTCAGTAGTATTTACATGAAATCACAGCAATGCAATCACCACAATCCAGACTGTGAGAAAACTCATAGGGCAAAAACCTGATTTTTTTAACAAACTAATTGTATGGGAATAAGAACAAAAAGACAGCAACTAACAAAGAAGGGGATGGGGGAAAGAAGGTAGAGACACATACCCAATGTAATATAGTATGTCCCTTTGTTTGTTTTCTAACTCAAACTGTTAAAAACAAAGCAAAGCCCAGCTGGTATGGCTGTGATTGAGTGTTGACCTATGAACCAAGAGGTCACAGTTCCATTCCCAGTCAGGTTACATGCCTGGGTTTCAGGCTCAGTCCCCAGTGGCAGCTTATCAATGATTCTCTCTCATCACCGATGTTTCTATCTCACTCTCCCTCTCCTTCCCTCTCTAAAATCAATAAAAACACACTTTAAAAAAATCAGAAGCTATAGTCAAGGAAATCTGAACACTGACTGGGTATGCAATGATAATAAAAAATTAGTGTTGCTGAAACCGGTTTGGCTCAGTGGAGAGATTGTCTGCCTGTGGACTGAAAGATTCCAGGTTCGATTCCGGTCAAAGGCATGTACCTTGAATGCAGGCACATCCCCAGTAGGGGGTGCACAGGAGGTGGCTGATGGATGTTTCTCTCTCATTGATGTTTCTAACTCTCTCTCATCAATGTTTCTCTCTCTCTCTCTCTCTCTCTCTCTCTCTCTCGCTCTCTCGCTCTCTCGCTCTCTCTCTCTCTCCCCCTCCCCCCCCTTCCTCTCTGTAAAAAAATCAATAAAATATGTTTTTTAAAAGAAATTAGTGTTGCCGAAACCGGTTTGGCTCAGTGGATAGAGCGTCGGCTTGGGGACTGAAAGGTCCCGGGTTCGATTCCGGTCAAGGGCATGTACCTTAGTTGCGGGCATATCCCCAGTAGGGGGTGTGCAGGAGGCAGCTGATCGATGACTCTCTCTCATCGATGTTTCTAACTATCCCTCTCCCTTTCTCTCTGTACAAAATCAATAAAATATATTTAAAAAAAAGGAAATTAGTGTTAATTTTTTAGTGAAATTTTATATTGGATTATTGTTTTAATCCTTATTTTTCAGAGATACATAATGAAATAGTGTAACAATTTTATTTTACTAGTGTGTCTTCCCTAATACATTGTGTTCCATGTCACCCAGCAGGCTATGGCCCCAGTTAGCTGCCTAACAAATAATTAAGGAAGATACAAAGTGATACAGGATTCCAGGGAGGTAGGTCACAATTGGAGTAGAGTGAAGAATTAAGCAAAACTTTAGGAAGGAAATGGTACTTGCCATGGGCCTTAAAAGATGGTAAAATTTTAACAGGTAAGGAATGAGAGAAAAATGATATTCCTGATGGAAAAAACGAAAGCAATTGCAAGGTGGTGGGAAGGCCTGTCTATGCAGCATATTCACCTGTACTCACCTTTCCATAAAACTGTCCCTACCCTAATGAGACATGAAAACAAAAACTTGAAGTGAAAAGTTATAACTCTCTAGGCAGCTCCAAATTGACAAAATCATGGGGGACTCATTCAGGCTCCAAGCAGGCCCCGGGGGGTGGGGGGGTGGGGGGGTGGAGGGTGGGGGAGAGTTCTTGTCTAGTCCTAGGACAGATCATGACAATATCTGGATAGCCAAACCATACTGGCTGTCTAGGGCAGTGGTTGGCAAACTCATTAGTCAACAGAGTTCTTTTACCTATCCTAGGAAATAATGATCAAAATGAGTAATTTAAAACAGTACTCACTAAAAGCTACCACCATGGCTCATTAGGGAGATAAAAGTTACATGAAATGCCTTTCCTCAGGTTACAGATTTTTTTAATGATAGCTGATGAAGCAAATATATTTTAAGAAAGATTTTTTCTTCTTCTTCAAAAATAGACTAGTCCCAAAATTAAAATATTTTGGAAATATTTTGGAAATGGATTCAGTGGTTCTAACATTTTCTATGTGCCAGTATCATTAAAATTCTCAGGATATGATGCCTGTGAAAAATGAACATCTAGACAAATAGGAATGCACATAATCAGCCAAAAAACTCAGTAATTGGAATGCTTATTACTGTCCTCTTCCATGTATTGGAGTATCACTTCAAATAACCAATATAAGTGGGTGTAGGGAGATACTAGAAGTATGGATGCTTTTCTTAAACTAAAGTAAAAAGCAGCAAGGTAACAGGTCAGATTAGGTGTAAGCAGTTTTAAGTCACTGACTACACCTTATTTCACAATAACTGAGACTGGTATACATCTTCCCAGAAATCAAATGTAATTATTCCAACTCATAAGAAGAAATAGCACTGGCTGGTTTGGCTCAGTGGATAGAGCATCAGCCTGAGGACTGAAGGGTCCCTGGTTCTATTCTGACCAAGGGCACATGCCCGAATTGCAGGCTCGATCCCCAGTGGGGAGTGTGCAGAAGGCAGCCAATCAATGATTCTCTCTCATCACTGATGTTTCTCTCTTTCTCTCCCTCTCTCTTCCTCTCTGAAATCAATAAAAATATATTTTTAAAAATAAAAGACTAATAGATATATTTTAAGGAATGTAATGTGATATCTATCTCTTTAAAAAAAAGAAGAAAACAAGAAATGAGTAAGACATAATAATTGGGGGTTCAAAAACTGGGAAACCTTTATATTATATAGGAAAGATTTTGTGGTTTTATATCTGTAGAATAGAGCTAAAAATAATAAAATTTAAGTCAATTTTTATAATTCACACTGAACTTCTAGGTCACTGCACAGGTGTGCCTTCAATACTTAAAAAATACCTCTTTGATTTTCTGAAAAATACTACAAAGACTCATATATATTTTGGACTCTATTCTAAACCAGTAGATGGCCACAAAAGGAGAAATACCTGTTTTCTTTGTTCCTCTCAGGTACACATTCAACCATTACATTTACCTTAACTCTTCAAAAAAGGTAAGACACCATATTTTTAGAAGGCTTCATCTTCTGAAACTGACAGTCACATTTTCCTCCACAAATACTGATCACTTGCTCATATAGCTTTCTTTAGATTACCTCTTTGTGAAATCATAGGTTGGCTATCACGTTCAAATTCAACCTACTAATTGATTGTATAAAATATTGGGGAAGATAAAGAGGGGTACAAATAAAGCTCTTTCTCTAGAGACACTACAACAGAACTATAAGAAAATTGCAATGCAAAGCAGAAAGTATCAACTGTTACAAAAGGCGATACAATAACTCAAAGAGCACAGAAAGAGAATGTATGTCATCTGACAAGTAGAAAGTGAATCTGAATGAAAATATTTTTATCTTTAAGAATTCTTAAGTACATAGCTTCACCAAAAGCACTGTAATCACCTTTATACCACAGAATTGTAGACACTTTCCAATTAACACAGCTAAGCTCCTTTTTTTTTTTTTTTTTTAAGCCAAACAGTAAAAGCTGGGTCATTCACAGACATCCTATCTTGTCCCCATTTGACACAAAATTTTATTTAAAGTAAAATTTGCCTACTGTTCCTGTAGAGCTAACAAACACCAGTCATCAGCCTGCAAGCTACCACAGTCTGAACGAGACTGCTGGTATTAAATAAAAATACATTGATTGCTTCCAGTAAGTTAACCCTAAAAAATAACGAAAAACAAATTATTGAAAATTCTTTGTGTTTGGAAACTGAAAAACACAATGTTGGATAAGAAAAATTAACCTGAGAAATTTAAGAAGCCAGCTTTGTTAAAAACCAAGTGGCCACTTGCCAATACTTCTTTATGCACAAATGACCAAAGATGATCCTAGGCAGATTCAGAGGCCACAAAGGATCTTTACCAAATGCCAAATTAAGAAATGTCTTGCAAACATTTCAATGTTCCTAAGTCAAAGGGCCGTTAAATAAAAGAAGCACCTCACAAAGCTTTGTAGGATGAATATGGAAACAAAGCTTTGCGCTTCTAGCATCGAAGTCCTAAACATACACACACACACACACACACACACTTCAAACGTGACGTTTACAAATATCTTCTTCACACGGGCACCTAGACCTTAGATTCCATCAAGAAAAAATCCCGCTCACAGAGAAAGGGACTGGCCCAAGTTCTAAAACCCTGTGGCCCCCACAGGAAAAGAAAACCCCACCATTCTGAATTGCAACTCTGAACTCCACGCACAATCATTTCAGACCCGTCCTTTCACCTTGATACAAATTAACACCGTCGGTGAAATTAACTGGCAACAAGGAGACTCCTCACACTCCTCTACCCCACGATCCATCCATCCATCCCTCCAAGAGTGGAAGGAACAGCAAAGTGGAAGGAACAAAGCACTGACGTCAATTACGAGATTAACCCCGGGCACAGGCAGCTGGAGGAAGAGGCCTTCGCCATCCATACCCAAAGACAAGCTGCCGGGTAGCCCGCTAACAGGCAGGCACCGAAGTTAAGGGGGGGACAAGCACTACGCCCCCACATTCCCATTTTTTCGTTAACCCCCTCCGCGGCTGGAAAGCGGAATATTTTCCGCCCCCTCCTTTTTTTTTTTTTTTTTTTTTTTTTTTTTTTTTTCAGAGGAGGAGGGTGACGGTGAGCAGGATCGCGAGAAGGAAAGCGAGAACTAGTTGGGTTATGATAGCCAGAACCTAGGCCTCTTTTCTCTTTGACTAGACATGGCTTGAAATTGAAATTAAAAAAAAAAAAAAAAAAAAAAAAAAAAAAAAAAAGGTCCCAAAACAGACGGCGGGGTTTCTGAGTGAAGGAACGGGCTAAGGAACGAAAGGGGGGGCAAGAGAAAACGGCGAAAAAGGATGGGTTTCTGGGAATTTCTGTTAGGATTAGGTTAGTTTTATTTATTTACATGGGGGGAGAAGGGAGTGGAACGCGAAGGTGAGAGACGAAGGCGGATGGAGCAGCCCGGGCCCGGAGGGGGTCCCCGAGCTCCCCTCCTGCCTGACCCCCGCCCGGTGGACCCCGAAGCCCCGTCCCCCGCCCCTCGTCCGCCCCTCCCCCGCGGCGCGGCCCGGCCCTTAGCGCCCGGCTTCTCACCTCCAGTCCCGGCTCCTCTAGGCCCGAACCATCCCCCGGCGGCGGCGGCGGGACCGGGCCTGCACCTTCACCCGACGCGCATCCGAGCCCAGCGGGGGGCGGCGACAGGCTGCCGAGGACCAGGCGCTCGGGGGCGCCGGGGGTCTGGAAAAGCGCCGGCGGGGAGGCGACGCGCCTCACACGGAACAGGCGGAGGTCCCGACCCGGTCCATGACGGTCGGGCCCAGCCTGGGACGGCCGACGGCGGCGGCGGGGGCGGGCTGATGAGGACCTGGCGCCCGGATCTCCGCCCTGTCAGCTGGCGGCGGCGGAGACGACGGACGCTCGGCGCCCGCAGCCAGGACTGACTGACGCAGCGGCCGCGCCGCCCATGTGACCGGGCCCGGCGAGCGCGGCGTCACGTGACGGCGGCGCGCCCCTCCCCGCCGGGGCAGCGGGGGCGGCTGGCCGCGGGGGCCGCCGGGCCTGTGCTGAGGGCGAGGGCGTGCGCAGCTGCCGGGCCCGACGAGGACGACGACCCCGGGCGTGCCCAGCGCCGGTCCCCTGGGCCCGGCGGCCGCGTTCGGAGGGCGGGGCGGGCAGGACACGACCGGCACCCGGACACGCACCCTCCTGCGCGTAGCCGCTAGCGAGGTGCGGAGGGCGGCGCCGGGCCCGGCCGGATCTACCGGTTCTGGGGTTCAGGTGAAGGGCTCAGGCCATCTGCGCCCCCAAAGTCCCCAGACCGGCTTCCCGTGCGGACTGGAAGCCCCGAGTCCAGGGCCCCCAACAGGTCCTGCCGGAAGGGGGTCTGCGGGTCTGTCCGCGGAGGGTGCTCGCCACCTCGCTTGAACTTCTCGAAGAAGCTGAGACAGACCCCACCCACCCCATCTCCACCCCCCACCTCAATCGTCTAAACGTTTTCTGCCACTAAACCTGTTCAGAATATAATTTTAAACCTTTTTTCCTTCACCTCAACGTCCTGCCAGTCAGGGCAAACTATAATTTAATTAGGAGTCAAATAATAGTTATGGACTAGACGGAATTTTCAAATAATCTCATAGAAGCCAGTACAGTAATTGTCCAGAGATACTACCTCTGGCTCATTATTTGGAAAAGACTTGGTAATCTGCCTCTCACCTGTTTTCTTCCCATGAAGGAGCCCCTTGAAGCAGGTGTGTGTGTGTTTCACTTTTTACTAATTTTGAAACATTTTAAAGATTGTTTTTAATAAAAGGTAAGAGTTTTGTAATATTATTGTAGACTGCATATGAAAATATTTCTATTAGCCCTAAAAGCTGGTAATTCACCAGCATCTATACATATTTTTTCTTTTAAATTACTTAACTGACTACTTATTTCTTTAAAGCTTCACTCTTTTTATGTATATCTACATAGATTTCATCTATATATCTGTTTATAAAGAAATATATAAATGCAACATAATAAAAGGCTAATATACAAATAGACCGAACAGGGAACAACTGAATGCTCTGACATGTGCTGACCACCAGGTAGCATGTGTAGAATATGGAGGATGTCGGCAGCAGAATGCAGAATATGGCTGGCAGCAGGATGGTGAAGGTAAGTGGGGGTTCCAGACCAAGGCAGGACACCGATTACTGTCATCAGGGTGCGCCTCTGTTGGTTACTGAAAATTCTTTGTTCCCGCATGCCAAGGTCCTGCTCTGCACTTACACCTGCTGCCAGCGCCAGAGCCATCACTTGCACCTGTTGCTGGTGCCCGTCAGCAGGTGCAAGTAAGGCCGTCAGAGCTGCTAGCAGACAGGACCAGGGGCCACAGCAGAAGGAGCTGGGCAGGAGCACAGAGGATGGGCTGAGACCCACCCCTGTGTCCACCGCAGCCTCACGGCCCACAGCTCCTTTCAAGGTACACGAATTTGTGCACTGGGCCCCCCTAGTCTATAATAATAAAAGTGGAATATGCTAATTAGACCAGACAGCCAAATAACCTTCCGAACATCCTTCCAGACAAAAGCCACAGCTGTAAAAGCCAAGGCAAGCTACCACGGCTGTGAGGACTGAGCCCCTTGCACAAATTTCATACATTAGGTCTCTAGTCCTATATAATAAAAGGCTAATATGCAAATCGACTGAATGGCAGAATGACCAGTCACTATGATGTACACTGACCACCAGAGGGCAGATGCTCAATGCAGGAGCTTCCCCCTGGTGGTCAGTGCACTCCCACAGAGGGAGTACTGCTCAGCCAGAAGCCAGGCTCACAGCTGGCGAGCACAGTGGCAGTGGCGAGAGCCTTTCCCGCCTCTGTGGCAGCGCTAAGGATGTCCTACTGCGGGGGGAGTGGGCCTAAGTTGGCAGTCAGATCTCCCAAGGGCTCCCAGAATGAGAGAGGCCGCAGGCCGGGCTAAGGGAATCCCCCAAGTGCATGAATTTTGTGCACTGGGCCTCTAGTGAAAAAATAATTGCTGCCCCCAGCCCTAATCCTCCCTGGCTGTCTCTAGGTCTCACCCACTTCTTCCTCACTCATCCTTCTCCCCAATATATATATAGCCTGAATTTTGAGCTGGCTTAAGGTAGATTTGAGAATTATTCCATCTTCTCAAGCTAGGCCTTCTTTAGGGGTGTCAAACTCAATCAGAGAAGGGGCCAAAATCTAAAATCCAGCCTAAATCGCGGGCCGAATGGTTTACTGAACAGTCATAAACTGTCATTGTGATGGAAACGCAGCGGAGTGCAGTGATGACGGCGCGGTGCGGGCCACGTTGCAAGGCCTGGCGGGACGGATTTGGCCCGAGGGCCTTGTGTTTGACACGTGTTCTAGATCAATAAATCTTTCCTTGCTCTAAACTGATTTATTGAATATTAGCCTTTCTTTTGGAGCATTGGGCATGCAAACTTTGTGCCTGTGACATTGGAGAGAATATTAGCTTCCTATTACTGCTGTACCAAACTGTCACAAATTTAGGGGTTTAAAACAACAAAAACTTATCATCTTACAATTCTGTAAGTCAGAAGTCTGAGCAAGTATTCCTGGGCAAGGCTACTCCTTTCTGGAGGCACTAGGGAGAAATCCCTTTCCTTGCCTCTTCCATCTTCTAGAGACTGCCCATATGCCTAGGCTGTGCCACTGTATTCCATCTTCAAAGTCAGAAACAGCTAGTCAATTCCCTCCTAAATCACATTACTCTGGGGGGGGAGGGGAAGGCGCAATGGTAAGATATGTACACATATAATACCTTAATTAAAAAATGGGGGGGAAAATCACATTACTATGGCCTTCTTTATTCTGCCTCCGTCTTCTAATTTTGAGGACCGTAATAATCACTGTGTGCCATTTTAGATAATCCAGAATAATCTCCCTATTTTAAGGTCAAATAAATTAGCAACCTTAATTCTATCTGCCACTTTAATTCCCCTTTGCCATACAACAAACAGCATATTTAGAAGTTCCAAGGACTGGTTCATGGGCAACTCTGAAGGGCCATTATTCTGCTTACCATACAGCATAAGCAGTCACTTAAAGTCATCTATTGAAAAGTTGAGGATTTTGAGAAATTCCTGAAATGAACAATAAAGCTATTTGTATTGTAATTTTTCTCTTCCTGGTCAGAATGTTCCTGGAATAGTAGTTATGTTAAAGATGACAACAAATTAATAAAATTATATTAATGTTGACTGAAGGAACCAAAATTCTGCCACCCTGAAGCTGCTTTGGGAATATATACTATTAATATAGTATATATTCACCTGAGGACAGTTTTCCCATTGATTTTTAGAGAGCGTAGAAAAGAGGAAGAGAGAAAGAAACATCAAGTGAGAAAGATACATCGACTCATTGGCATTGGTTGCCTCCTACACACACCCCAACCAGGGCTGGGTATTGAGCCTACAATGGGCATATGTGCCCTTGACCAGAATCGAATCCGAGACCCTTCAGTCCAAGGGCTGACACTCTAACAAATGAGCCACTGGGGTACTAGTTTTAAGCTTTTTGTTAAAAAAAAAAAAATAGAGACTTAGAAAGAATCATTGACTCTCCCCCTTTTCCCAAAAGATTCAGACAGAGAAATCTATTTCAGGAAGAAGATCTTAGGAGGCGGCCTTAGCCTAAATTTGAATTAAGTGTGGTAAACAAGAGGCTTCCAGGCCCCTTGTGAGCTAGCTACCCCAGGGACCCATTGTGTCTGAGTAGCCTAGCAAGGATTTTCCTGCCTTGTGTGTTCCGTTCTTCCTCAACTACCTATAAAGCAACCATCCCCATTCCTGAAAATGACTACCATGCCCCCCCCCTTTCTCCTTTGTCCAAATGTGTCTTACATAATCAATGTTGCCTCACTAATTTTTGAATTTTCATGGAATTATGATGCCTATGTGAATTCTCTATGCACATATATTAAACTTTGATTTTCTCCTGTTAATCTGTCTCTGTTAATTTGATTATTAGCCCAGACAAAAGAATTTAGAAGGTGGGAGGAAAAGTATTAACATGTTCTTAGCTCCCATAATTGTAATCTGTATGGATGTAGATGGTGTCAGTCCTCAGTGCCTGATCTTATAGTCATTCTTCAGCCTGAGCTGGGGACCATTAGCACTTGGGGCCATGATCAATCCAAATCTTCACTGTTACTTGGGGTGTCATAATTAGGAATCAAATTTTTGGAGGGTGGTTATTTCAACTTGCTTAAGTTCCAGGTTTTCTCTTTTTTTTCTTTTTTTTCTTTTTTAATTGATCTTATCAGAAGGTGAAGAGAGAGAGGGAGAGAGAAACATCCATCTGTTGACTTCCACACATGCCCAACAGAAATTGTACCCCCAACCTGGGTATGTGCCCTGACTGGCACCTTCTGATGTATGGGATGGCACTTCAACCAACTGAGCCACACCAGCCAGGGCAGGTTTTTCCATCCTTAATCCTACTGGGGAACACTGCAGAATGCCTACTTTAGAGCAGGGGTGAGGAACATCCGGCCTGAGGGCGGTATAAAGCCCATGAAACCATTTGGTCTTGCCATGCCAAGGCATTAGGGGTGAGTTAATGAAATGCTTGACCAAACATAGCAGACTAGGTTTTAAGCTGATAATTTTGTAGGGCCCTCAAATGATGTGTAAGTGCCCAATGGTCCTTGGCAGAAAAGAAGGTTCCCCACCCCTGCTTTAGAATTATCATGGGACTGTGAAAAGCAAGGGACTGGTATATTTATGTAACTACTATGGTGAGAGGCCTGCTCCTAGGGATATTAATTCCTCAGCAGCTCCAGCCTGCTGCCTGTGAGCAGAGCAGATTCCCGCAGCTGGAGAAGGTTCTCAGGCAAATAAAATCAGGAACATCTGCACAAGTTGAAGTCAGGCTGATATTCCTGAAATGTGAGGGGATATGAATGGGCAGCAACAGTGATAATTACTGTACACAGCTGTGTGCTAAGCACAATACTGAACACTT